GGCCGGGAAGACCCCAGGGCAGGGGGGGCGGTGGGCGGCCCTGGCACCCAGCACGACGCTCGGCGCGAGATCCTGGGCTGCGGCGTCTCTGTCCGCAGCCTCAAGGCCAACTATGAGGGGCCGGGAGGGGCCCCCGTGCCCCTCCCCAGGGTCACCAAGCGCAAGCGGGCGCAGCCCCCCGGCAGCACCCGCCAGCCCGTCCTGGAGGAGGAGTATGGGGACGGGGCACCGCAGCGGAGCCGGACGGCACCACCAGAGCCAAGCGGCCCACGGGAGTGCGCCGAGGCACACAAGGAGCGTGCCGCCTTCCTCTTCCTGGAGCACTGGAAGAAGCGGGCGCTGGCAGCAGTGCCCGGGGAGGAGCGGCCGCGGCGGCCAGGGAGGCGGCGGCCAGCGGCAGGGCGGCTGCTGGCCCGCTGGAGGAGCATTGCCCGCCGGGTGCCGGGGCGGCAGATCCGGAGGCTGAGCCGTACTGCGGCGCTGTACTGGCCCCAGCACTTCCTGCCCCACGTCGGCGGCTCGCCCGTGCCCCACGACAGCCTTCCGCTTGACCTCTTCATGCTGGGCTACTTCCAGCTGCTGGAGATGCCGCTCAGCCCCGAGGAGCGGCGCTTCCGCCACCTCCTCTGCTACGAGATGTTCGACCGCCTGGGCGGCCACAGCTGGCGCCGCGTCCGCCACTTCCACCGTGCCGTGCTGGAGCAGGTCGAGGCGGGCCACCGCCACTGGCTCGATGGCTTTGAGGACCTCGTGCAGGAGTTTTTTGGGGATGGCCCCACCACGGTGGCGGAGAGCCCGCCGGAGCCCCCCCCTCCGGCCCCGGGAGGGGAGGGGGCGGCAGTCCTGGTGCCGGAGCTGGGCGAGTTCAGCGAGGAAGACATCTGCCGCTTCATCGACCGCAGCTTCTCCTTCTGGAAGGAGAAGGAGGCGGAGATGTCTGACACCTGAGCCCGGCAGCATGTTGCGGGCTGTGCCGGCGGTGTGGTGCGGGGCTGGCCGGGAGCAGGGACCGGGGGGGCAGCTAGACCCGGCACCCAGGTGTGCTCAGCTGCCTCAAGGGCACCGGTGGTGCCGCGGCTTGGCTCGGCGGAGGGCTCGGTGTCGGTTCGCGCGGCCCCAGGGCCAAGGTTGCGGTGTGCTGCTTGCTGTGGCTGTGTGTTGTGCGGGGTGTGCGGCACCGGGGCTGCGCTCCCCTCTGGCGTGGCGTTTGCGGTGCCGGGGCGGCGTGGGCCCCTGCGTGTCAGTGCAATAAAGCTGTGGTGTGCTGCGAAGGGCTGGCCACGCCGCGCACTCCTTCCTCCTCCCCACGCCAGCAGAAGGCGGGCAGCGAGGGGCAACGCCGTCGAGCCACATGCTGGCGAGCCCCCACCAGTGCCGTGCCGGGAGCGCGGCTCGGCCCGGCCACCAGCGGGATGCGGTGCCACACGCCGCGGCCACACCGCTGCCCTGCGGTGCCAGCAGCGAGGGTGGGCTCCTGGCAGTGCCGGTAACGCGGCTGTCTGTTGCAGGAGAAGGAGGAGGAAGCGCGCCTGGCCAGTATGCCGGCCTGGAGGAGGGACATCCTGCGCAAAAAGCTGGAGGAGGAGAGGTGAGCCGGGGCCGGGGGATGCCACGCCAGTCGGCCGTCCCCACGGCTTCGCTAACCCCGCTCTTCCCTTTGCCTTCGCAGGGAGCAGAAACGGTGAGTGCCGCGAGCCCCTTCCCAGGGTGGGCGGGCGGGGGGGCACGGCGGCTACGGCGGCTCTGGTGACCGCGGCGCCCCGTGCCCTCCACTGCCGAGCAGGAAAGAGCAGGAGAAGCTGAAGCGGGAGGAGGAAGAGAAGGAGAAGGAGCAGTCGGAAAAGCTAAGGACTCTCGGGTGCGATGAGACAAAGCTGGCGCCCTGGCAGCGGCAGATCATCCTCAAGAAGGGGGACATAGCCAAGCACTAGTCGTGCCGTGCCGCACCCTGGCTCTTCACGGCGGGAGGAGGCTGGCAGGTCCCACCACGGACTGGGACGCGCCTCGGCACCCTCCTTCCGCCGCGGACGGCCACATAGCCTGTCCCGGAGGAGCCCCCACAGCC